AATATATATTTTTTTTTAAATTTTATAGTCGATTTTTATAATTAAATGACTAGTTTCTAATTAAAATATTACATGCCTTATTTAAATGCGTAAAGATAAAACATGTAGACTCTATATATGTAGATTCTACGTATCTAACTATGATGATTAACCGACGATAAATATTTATGATGATATTTATTATGATATATATGTATGTATGTATATTTATCATTTTATATCAGAGTATCGTCATATTAGATTACCTTATTGTTAGGCTATGACAGGCTATACGTTTGCTTTAATTGCAATTGACGTTGATGCATACCACAAAATGCGTAGGATGAGCCAAATAAAGAGAGAAGGAGAGGGAGAGTGGCAGAGATACAGAGAGAGAGAGAGAGAGAGTGAGAGAGAGAGAGAGAGAGATACTGACATGGTAAGATGGCACAAGTTGTATAAAGAGAAACAGAGTGAGGGGAAACAGATGGGAAGATTCAATGCTATGGCGAGGGGAGGAAGGGCATTGAGTGAAGTCCATAGGAAACGCACAGACAACGAGCGTGAGTTAAATTAAGTTAGCGTCGAGACGACGACGACGACTTGACAGCAGCAACAACTGCTACAACAGCAGCAACAACAGCAAGCAACAACAGCAAAACAACAACAACAACTAAATAAATAAATACACATTTTTATATGCATTACGCGCATAAATCAAAATCAACTTGTAAATTTAATATGTCGCCGTGAATTTTGTGGCGCTTGCCACATGATTTATGCCGATTGTATTTTAGTTGAATTGCCGCGAAAATATTAACATGAATCGATAGAGTGCTATAGCCAAGAAATACCCTGGAAATGGACGTGAATGGGTATAAGTGATGGGCTAAGAAGTGCAGGAAATTATATTGTAGGTAGAGAAAGAAAGTTTTATTATTATTTTATTACAAAATTAAACTAGCCTTTAGTGGATAAAATACTCTAGTATTTATTAGGATTAGAAGGAAATGTTTGCCCATGTTCTAGTTAAACTTTAACTGCCTATTAAGATCAGTAAGTCTGATATTCCTTTATATATCAACTACTCAGCTTCTATTAGCTCTTCTCATATATACTCTATTAGCTTAATACATTTCTTTAACCTTACCACATCTTCTCTAGGGTATCTCTCTAGCCTATCACTAACTTCAACTCTCGTTAATTCTTCATACAAATTTTTGGGCCTGCCTGCCCTGGGTATACCAATCCGTTAAACACGCCCACCTATTGGCCATGCAATTGGTAGTTCAGACATTTAATTAACACTCGACTGGCTCTCATGGCCATAAGGCCGGCCGGGCTAGTTGCGACTGGCTAATGGCTAATTGGTAGGCAGCTCAGGTCGTTCCAATTTCTCATGGATGTATACAAAAGAGTGACAGGCATGCCTCGAAGAAAAACTTAATTTTCACACATTAAAATTAGCTGGAAAAGCAACCGCCCTCCCCTCCTTCCGCCTCCCTCCTCCCTCATCCAATACTCTATGACAGCGATCTATAGTGCGCCTCAACTATTTCGCTTTGACACTGAAAAATGACAATTTCAAGCCCTGGCGACAGTTTGACAGGCTCTGCGGATCCCCCATTTCCCATATGATATACAGATATATGTATATATATATAGGAATATATATATGTAAATACTTGTAGTATCTCTGTTGTAGCTGTGGCTGCAAAACGAAAGCAAAATTGGGACTTGACTTGCTCTTGGACTTGACTAGTGAGCAGAGTGTTAATGTATGTGTGTGTGTGTTACAGTGTATGTCTGTGTGTATATGCCCCACGTCAGGCAGCTTTAAGCGGTGCAAGCAAAATAAATGAGTTTGTCAGCCGGCAGCGACATGATTTGATAATTGGTTTTAAATGCAATTCGAAAGCGAGACGAAAGTGGTCGAAAAAAAGTACAATAAATAAATACAAATTATAACAGGAAACGGATACAGAAGTGAATTGATATGACAATATTTAAAAATAAATCAAAGCAATAGAGAAATTATTACAAAGCTGTGAATGTGTGAATATTATATGAAATGATATAATGAGCGTATAGGTATAAGGATTAGTTTAAGGTATACAATTCATAAAGCCTAAGATGGAAGATTTAAGATATATGTTATATAATATAAGGTTTAAGGTATAAAGATATGGAAATGAAGAGGCATGAAGAGATATAAGACAATATATATAAATATATACGCAAAATTTTGATAAATGTAGTTGCATAATAATATATATATGCTAATATAAAAGAAAAACTATAAATATTACAAGAGATAATGTAACAGATTAGGCTTAAGATATCACCCTACAAATGTGCATAATAATATAAATTAAAATATTTTGCTCTGTTCTACAGCGCCTTGGCCAACGCAAGTTTTGGCCATTGACTCGGGCCATTGGCGGCGATAATCAGCTTAAATTTTGGTGGCAACAGCTTCCAAGTGGCTGCCAAATGACTCATTGGGCGATTTTCAGATACGAATGTGGGCGGGGCAAGGCGTGGTGGGTTTATTGTGACGGTTATGTAAGGTCATTAAGACCCCACCCAGGCGACCCCAAGACTGAGGCAAGTAAAAGCAAACAGCGAGAAGAGAGAAGAGAAGTCAAAAGCAGATCGAAGATTGAATGCACTTAAGTTAATAATGATAATATATAATAA